GCCAACCTGGGGGCCTGCGAGTGACAGGTTTTTACGCATCTGTGTCCGCGTCAGCCACAGGTCAAGTCATGTCAGGGAAACTTGTTTTTAGCATGTTCATTGGTAGCGAACTAATAAGTGGGGGTACTCATGCATTCACTTATACTCACAAAAACACATGAACGCCCAAGCGACGTGTGAGACGGCTTGTTTCAGACACAGACTGTGGTGGAGTCAAGCTGTGCTCAGATTGAGAGTGCATGCTGCATGGTGACCCAGTAAGGATCTAAGGCAGTGTGTTACCGGGTCTTACACACACAAACACTCATTCAGCCACATACATAGTAGCAAGAAAAGTAGCCTAACAACATCACTGCTCATGCATATGAAGTTATTCATTAATAGACGTTAGTTACATCCATAATTTATGCTACGTACAACACTATAAACACAGGGAGGTGAGGGGAATTGGTAGAAAACACCTACAACTTTCTGTAAAATATGTATATGCTCTGTTCTTTTTATTTGTGGTCGATGTGAAGTATGATCCCAAATAGTAAAAGGAAGTTTTGATGTAACTAACAGTGTCCAGTGCTTTGGAGCCTCCATCAGGTTTTCATTCCTGTATTTGGCTGCACATTTTCTGCCCCTACTGGAGCAAAGCACCCTAAACATCATGATGCTGCCACAAATGATGTGTTAGTGGGGGTTTGGTAGTATATTCAGAGTCAACTACAAGTTAGTTTGAATTCACGTGTAGGATTTTTAAGTATCTTAAATCGTTAAAAGCCTTGCCATGACACCATGTTTACAATGCCAGAAAGTTGATCATAAATACAGACATGGTTTTAGTGGAGTCAAACTGGCTCTCACACACCTTCAGCCACACACACTTACTAACACCTTTTCATGTATGCTTAATATATTTCATTTATCTTTTTTTTTTTACAATATGCACAGTATTTACATGCAGAATTGGGGCGGCAAACTAAAACCATAAATCACTAAACATAGAGGAGATGTTATTTGGACGCCGCCGCCTTTGGCTTGTTTTAAATTAACATCATCTTTCAGCATGCCTATTTCTATGTGTGTGTAGTCAGCCAGTTGATTCGCGGGTGTTTTGATTCTGCACACTGTATCTATGTGTGTGTGGGGGAGTCGACCCAAAAGGTTGAATGCAGCTCTGAACACGTGGGAGGAGATTCATGCATTTGTGTCAACATCTTCTGCACAACGCGCACAGTGTACGCTGAATCGATTGGTAGACAAAGACATTGTTAAAATGCCAATATGAGCGTATATGAGCCAGGGAGTGAAAAATGTAAGGTTTTTGCATCACAATGGGATAAAAAAGATGTTATGAGAAGAAGAGAAAAACAGTGCGTGTCTCCAGAGTTTTTTCTTCCTGTCTCCGTGCTGATTGGGGTCAGTTCTCCACCATTAACCAAGCGCAGGCGGAGGGAGGGCTGGAGCAGCCGGTCGACCCCTCTGCTTTCACACGGCAGCCTGATAATAAGGACCGGTGCCTCAGAGGAATGCTCTGCCGCTGGAATGCTCAGCTAACCTGTCTGCACTCTTTAAATGCTGCTTTTATGAATCCTGAATGTGGTTATCAAACGGAGACTGGCAGCTCTGTGAGAGAGCGCAGCGCTGTTTTTGCTGGATGCATAACTGCTATCCTACGTTTGACATTCCCCAGATGCATCTTCAACTTGACCTTCCCAATCTGCTTCTAACACAGTCGGTGATGGGAAAGTATCACAGAAACAAGAACTAACATAGTAGCTCATTTAGGTATAGTATGTCTATGGCAGCATTGCACATCTGGGGACTGGGGTGTTTGCACATATTTCTGTGGCAAAATAGGTTAAGCTCAGTCGGACTCAATGGAAAAGGTGATTCGATTGAATTAATGATTGGATTTAAGTCGAAACTTAAATAGGCCGTTTAGGTGCATGAATTTCCTTTGATCTAAGCCATTTCATTCTACCTGATGGCTTTGCTGTTTTGCAGGAAGCTGAACATCTGACCCAACTTTGTCTTTTTGCAGCCACTTAAAATATACATCCCCACATCTGATCAGAGCATCTGGAATTATGCTTGATGTTTTTCTAGGGAGAGGTCCGGTCAGTTTTCTATTCCCACAAGTTGTTTTCGAATAAGCCAAAAGATTTAGTCACATGTTTGCCACAACTGGAGAAGTGACTTAAAATCTTTCTTCTGATTGCTCTTTTGTAAGAACCAAGGGTTAAAAAAAATGCACATAGTTCCCCATATTTCTCTACAGATTCATTGTATTTATGTCGCTTTTATCTCATGTGGAGTGACTCAAGGCTGTATTCTTGGGACCCTTCTTTTTGTCCATTACCTTCGCCCTTTGGAGTCATACCTAAGAAAACACATGGAGCTTTATATTTTTATCAGATGACAGATTTTTTATGCTCCAAAAAAAAAAGGAAACACAGATTGTAAAACAGCTGCTTGAATGCATTGTAGAAATCAAGCCACAGTGAGTGCTTTCCTTAACCTTGAACAAATAAAAGATAAAGGTCGTGTATTTGGGGCTCAGTGATGTGTTTAGTGTCAGCGTTTACTTTAGTCTATGAATGAGACAAGACAGAGACCAGTGTAAGACTGGACTTTGATTGTAACATTCGTGCTCAGATTAAATCAATGGTCAGAACAGCTTTTTCAAACTGGGAACAGTAGCCAAAATAAAAAGAATAAACAAGACATTACTCCTACAAATTACTTTTATTTGCTTTTAAATGTCTTGCTGGCATTGCCCCTGAGTATCTGGTTGGCTGATCAATTTTTATGAGTTGTTCCAAAGACATTTCAGTCGTTGGCTTTTATGGCCTGATTTTTTTTACATCTTTGCCTGGTTATTTTATTTTAGGCTTTTAATTATTAGCTTTTTAGAGAGTCTAAAGCATTTAAGCAAACTGAGCTGTATCTTGATCAGTATAAAAAACAGATTTTATGTACTAGTTTAAATTTAAGTGTTACTGTGATGGTTTATCACAAAAAATCTCAATAAATCACAGAAAGTTTGGAGTAATCACAAGTTCAGGGGTTAGGAAGACTTTGTAAATCGTTCGATTAGTTAGTTTAGCAAGGCCATTACTGCAGGCGCTTCTGACTCACAATTAACTGAGATCAAATGAAAATCTTGTCTCTAAGCAACATTATCTCATGAGGATATTTGACCCTCTGGCAGGCATAAAAATAGAGGAACATAAAGACATTCAACTAGCCATAGCTAATTTTTTTTAACTAAAGATATAAAGATAGAAATGCTCTGGGGGAGAAAATAACAGTTTGTGAATCAGGTCGTGTGTGTTTGACATTTGTTCGGCGCTCTCTGTCAGTTTGATGCGCCTGCACGGATGTCTGCTCTCTTGGAGCGTCATTGAGGTGCTGGTCCATAAACGTTCGGCCGTGACTCTGGCTCCCCAGTGGGCCGCGGAGCAGTGGCTGATGGGTAGATGATCTGAGCCACACAGCTGCTGCCGTTCAAGGTGAGCCGCCCTGGGCGCATAAATCTGCATGGCTAATGAGGAGCGGCCGCAGAGGGCCCACTTAGAACCATTAAACCAGTTTTGTGCTGTGTAAGAGTGAGCGCTTTTTAACAGGGAGATGCAACCTGAAACAAACTAAGGGACTGCAACGAGAGAAGAGTTCAGGGGATGCATGCTTTAAAAGTGTGCAAATCAGAGGGGTCAGATTGTCTCTTTAGCTCTACATTTAGGGGAGTATAACTCACTCATTATGGGTGCTTTCAGTCACAAATATATTATTTTAGGGCTCCTCCTGGTTGCATAATATATCCGGATTGCTCTAGGTGCATTTCCCACTGCAAAAAATATAAATCTCAATAAGTTATTTTTTCTTAAAATAAGTGTGTTTTTTCTTGATTTGAGGAGGTAAGTAAGACACTTTGCCAATGGAACAAGACAATTTCCTTTTAAAATAAGAAAAAACTATTTTATCGTCTTATTTCAAGTAAATATTATCTAACTATCTTATTTTAAGAGTGAAAATACTCATTCCATTGGCAAATCATCTTATTTACCTGCTCAAATTAAGGCTAAATATACTTAATTTAAGCCATTTTTTACTTATTTCTGGATTGTTTTTGCAGTGCTTTTGGTCTTAGCTAATGGAAGAAGGCAGATGTTTTTTTTTCACCTATTGAAAAATTCCTGTGTAGATTTAGCCATGCATTCACTCAACATTTCCAAATATTTCATCATTCATCATGCAACCCACTCTAACAAGGTTCCCATGTGCTGTAGAAGAAAAAAAAAACAACTCAACAGCATCAAATATCCTCCACATTACTTAGATTTCAGCAAACTCTATGTCTTTATGCATGTGGTAGTAGAAAAGGAGTAGTTTGGCATCATTCCCAATAAATCAGCTCAAATGTGGTGACTAATGGTTAATATTAAGACTAGTTGACCCCTATTTTTTCCAAATATCTGAGCTTTTGTTGATTTTTCTACATTTCTTGCCATTTTCAACAGAGTGAAAGATAAACTTGGCTTCTCGTACAGCTTACTGGACATGCTGAGCCATGTGAAAGCCGCAGATTAACATTTTAAATAAAGATTATTGGTATCCAGTAAACACTGCATTTTTAAATATTTTTCTACTGTGAAAATAAGTTCCTGTATTATGTTTTTTATTTGAAACCCACATTGACCGGGAGTGATAATAAACGACGCTGTAGTGCTCATATTGCTTAATGCATCTGCCTCTTTACCGTTTTCTCCTTGTGTATTTTTCATCTTTGTAATCATAAACCGTGTGTATTCCAGCTCCTCGCCACCACAGCTGCTGTATATCCCATCTGGCTGTCAGTGTCAGTGACGACTCTCTAAAACGCTAGTCTGCAAGTTAGATGAGATACCACGCTGTGATCGATTGCTTCTGTCTGTATTCTCTCCTAATGTGACCGTTTCCTACCTCCCCTACTTTTATTAAATTTCCTCTTATCCTCTTTATCCGCTTAGGTTCGGAGTTCTGCTTTCGCAACTTCACCAGCCCGTCCGGCATGATTGAGTCCCCAGGGTTCCCGGACAAATACCCGCACAATCTGGAGTGCTCCTACATGATCATGGCCCCGCCCCACATGGACATCACCCTAACCTTCCTCACGTTCGACCTGGAGAACGACCCCCTGATGGTGGGCGAGGGCGACTGCAAGTACGACTGGCTGGAGGTGTGGGACGGCCTTCCGCAAGGTGAGCCGAACAAACCCGGGGAGATGAATGGACACGCACGCTTTGAACATTTACACTCCATATCCACTGACTCATGCAATCCCCCCAACGTTTCTGTGAGTGAATTTGCATACCGGCCTTCAATTTCCTGAGCTGCCATCACTCTCTTTGATGTGAGCTGCCTTTCCTTACTTTCCATTACATTCCATAGAGTAAACTCTATTTCACAGAGGGAGCTCAAAGCGCCTCGATGACCCTGAGGAGCAGGCCTTTCCCAGGGTCCTCTTCCCCTCGCCATAATAACACTCTTCATCACCCTCCCCGCCCTCCCTCCTTATCACCTGGCACTTCCTTCCTCCCCAGACGAGTGAGAGTGACGGTGATGAGTATCAACAGAAGTAGACGCAAAACAAAAACATTTCAGGATGTCTCCTGGAGCTTTGTTATGCAGAAACCTCTAAAAAAAAAAGGGAAATATGGCCTCCAATCATCCAATCATTATAAGTTAGTTGAGTTTTAATTAATAATTTTGACTTTTCTGGTCTTAGTTTTGCTGTTGAAAGTCACTTTAATAAGATACTTTTGTCATAATTCTTACACCAAAATAAGAAATGGATCTCTGTATCTGAAAAATATGTACTTTAAATGAAAAAAATATGATTTTGATCATAAATATAACAAAATATTTTGATTTTTCAAACCTTAAATACTGACCAGATTGCAAAGTTAATGCTAAAGGTTGACATATTAAACCTATGACTTTGGAGGTCTTTTTTTTCTGTTTTTAAAAGTTAAAACGCACTTTTATGCTTAAGTAGCAACTATCAAAGGTTAACACAGAGCTTTTAAAGAGCGGAGTTGGAGGTGGTGAGGGATTCATTTCTCACCTCTCTTCTCCTTTTGCTTCCCTCCAGAAACACAAAGCTAGGACCAAAGGATTTGCTCTAATTATATTCTTTTCTGTTGCTAAAAAGGGATCCGAGCGGATTTAAAATTCCAATTACGGTGTCAAATTTAAGGACTTTGATAGCTAAAAACAATTTATAGCATTCAAAGTTGAGAATTAGGAGCAAATTAAAGCGTAACCCAGTTCCAGGGTGCTGAGTCCTCGGGCGGGAGACGAGGCGGACGGGTGAAAGAATTTAGCGTCTGGCGCAGGAGGGGTTGTCTTGAGACTATTTTAATCTCGCTGCGTGTTTGTATGTGAGTGTATTTGTACTCATCTGCAGCTGATCCCAGTGCAGCTTGCATGTAGGCAGGGATTCCAGTTCCCCTGCTGGGATCTGGCCGAGACACACATGGCAGATGGAGGGATGGACAGGAAAGTAAAGGGAGAGTTTGGAATGATAGCAGGAAGCCATGTGGGGGGGAACGCTGTGACTCATTAGGCAACACTCACTGAAGTAGAAATGCTACTGGAAACCTTTGAAGTAAGAAAAAAAAAAATGAATAAAGCAAAGGGTTTAATCTTTTTTTTTTTATTTGTCCTCAGCTTCGCCTCTGATTGGCCGCTACTGTGGGACAAAGATCCCCCCTGAGATCCAGTCATCCTCCGGCCTGCTGTCCCTCTCCTTCCACACGGACATGGCGGTGGCCAAAGACGGCTTTTCTGCACGCTACAACATCACCCACAAAAAAGTCTCCGACTGTGAGTGCAGGATAACTCCTCCTGACTGTGTGCCGGTGCACCATATATCTCTGTTTTTTTATCTTACCCTCCTCTCACCCTCTCGATATTCCCAGCTTTGCCTCCTTTAATGTTATTTTAGGTTTCAAGCTTCTACTTCTCTCCCCTCAGCACATTGTGCTCCTACCCCAGAAACAGACTTGTGTTCTTTTTCGTTTAGAGCGTAAATTAACTTCCCCCTAGTTCACCTCAGCTCACCTGCTGCTCTCTGCCTAATTATGCCCTTACAGTTTCAGTTCCTTTCAAACATTCATGTTAGTAGCACATCTTTCTCTCGTTACAACCAAAGTCTACCTCATACCTTGTAGGAAACAAGTGGAATAAGGAATAATATGGTACTAAAACTGGAAATTCCAACATGCAAAAACTAAAATTGAACATGCAAAACACAATAGTTGAATGCAAATTGAAGCATAACATTCCTGCTGTGAAACATGGTTGTACAGAATATGCTGAATTTTTAAAACAATGCGCTTTTGGTGAAACACAGTAGTGGTAGCATCATGCTGTGGGTGTTAGTAGCCAGTCAGAGCGCAGGGGCATGTGAACCCACCTTTACTTCCTCCTCACAGTTACATCCTATCTGTGGTTTTGACGTTTAAAGGGTTTAAATACTTTTTTGGTCTTTCTTTCAGCATTAGGGAAATCATATCTTACTTCCTTTTTTCCACTTTTCTTTTATGAATCATTGTTGCCTCATTCCCTTCCTCTCTTTTAGCATTTCACTGTAGCCTGGCGCTAGGCATGGAGTCGGGAAAGATCAGCGACGACCAAATCTCCGCTTCCACCACCTTTTACGACAACCGCTGGTTGCCGCGGCAGGCTCGCCTCAACAACGACGACAACGCCTGGACGCCCGCAGAGGACAGCAACAAGGAGTTTATACAGGTGTTTATTTGCAGACATATTTATCGTTTTATGTATAATACCAAAGCAAAAAACAGCTTGAATAAAAGCTCCATCTATGACGTGACCTTAAAGATCACTTTGTTGGGGATAATAAATTTGTCTGGGGGAGGATTTGATGGAATACACAACAGTATCTTATACACACTTGTATACACACACACACGGGAAATAGAGGAACTGTAAAGCGATGATAAGGAAGTTCTTCTGCACTTTCAATCTTTCCTGTCTCCAAACACGCAAGCGTATTCATGAAGCGAGGGGAGCAGCGAGACGCTTGTGATTGATGAAGGTGCTCTCCTGGAATTCATCCCAACACCGTGCCATTGATCTTTACTTCCCACCCTCCTTCACCTTATACACATGACAATGTGCATACATGCTCTCCCCGGTTTTCCTCAGCAGTAGGGCGCTCTCTGCAGCTAATTCCTGCTGTCTGGGAGACAGCTGCAGGAACACCTCTGGTATCTGCATCAGTTTTCTCTCTTTGAAATAGGTTAGTTAATAAATTACAGATGCAACTGCTGCTGTTTCATCCATTTCATAGGCAACATTTGCCTAACTCAGTGACCTTTCTTTTTTCCGTGACGTGCAGCTAAAACAGAGTTTGGTAGAGGCCATTTCTCAATGTGTGTACTTGTGCGCTCTTGTGGTATCGTGAAACGCCCTTGTACTGTCTAAACTCACAAGAACACAAGACCGAGAACAGACAAAGTCCCTGGATGGTGGTCCGTTCTCGAGATTTCCCAGCATGCACTGCAGCAGCAGCTTGCAGTGGAGCACTCACAGAGCCTAAGAGTAATGTAGTAATAAAAAAAGTAATGAAAGTAAAATAAAGTAGTGAAAAGTTTGCTTTTTTGTTGTCGTTTTAAGATAATTTGAGGTGAGAACATCATACTTTTAAGCCTCACTATATGGCCCATTTACTGATTTAATGCATAATTAAAAAAAAAAGCTCTAATGTTGTGTTGACCGTGGCAACCAGCGCCCTTTCTGAGGGTAACCGCAGCCAGGGCCGACGTTAGCCCGTCTGCAGCAGCCCTCTCTCAGCATAGCCTTGTGTGAATTATCGCTGGTTCTGATGCCGATTTTCTTTTTTTTTTATTTGGCACAATGTTGATTTGATTTGTGTTTATCTGACTGTGTTAATTATTATTCCCCCACTAAAAGAAATAGTAAGAATTTATTATTATCTATAGACTTGGAGTTGAAATGCAGCTCCAGATGAGCCAAGCATGTGGCTTCTGTTCCAATTGACCCATATTTATTCTGCATGCTGCCATTCTCCCCAAGTCCATACTTTCCTATGTTCTTGTCAAGAACGTACTTGGCGAGAACACGAGTCCGTGTTCTTTTAAATTAAGAAACGGACAGAATTTGACTAATTTCCTGTTTTTTGGTTTTTTATTTCAGGTTGACCTCCACTTCCTCAAGGTTTTGACTGGGATATCCACCCAGGGGGCCATATCCAAAGAAACTCAGAAGTCTTACTACGTCACAACCTTTAAACTGGAGGTCAGCACCAATGGAGAGGACTGGATGGTGTACCGGCATGGCAAGAACCACAAGGTTGGTCTTTATCATACACAGCTGCTTTTTAGGAAATCAACTGTACTGGAAGAGGTCTGCTTTAAGAACGATAATTTACTTTATGTTGAAGGTATTTTTCTTTACTTGACATTAATTAAATAGTGAGCAGCTCAGCCTAAACTTTACCACCTAAATTACAGATGTCAAACTCCAGCCCCCAAACGCAGGTGGTTCTTTAAAGCACCAGGAATCCAGTAATTATATTGTTAGCTAGACTTTGATTACTAGCTTAGAATATAGCCGTCTCACATTTTACATTAAACCTTACTAATGCCAGAGCAGCGTACCAAAAACCAAGCAGAGAGAAGTGACGTAAGATAGGCACATAAGAGGAAAATTAAGTCAGACTGATGTTGGTTAGTTTAGTATTTCCACAGGAAAGATTAACAAGTTAATGATGAGGATATGAGAATAGAGTAGGTTGATAGAACAGTGTTTTTACTGAGTAGGATGTGGGGGCTGCTCAGCGGTGCAGTGGGTAGCACTTGCAGCAAGAAGGTTCCGGGTTCAATTCCCAGCTCGGGGGCTTTTCGTATGTTTTCATGTTTGCATGTTCTCCCTGTGCATGTGTGGGTTCTCTCCAGGCACTCTGGCTAAAAACATGACTGTTAGGTTTATTGGTTTCTCTAAAATTCTCCTTAGGTGTGAGTGTGTGGAATGTTTTTTTGTCTTGTTTGTCTCTGTGTTGCCCTGCGATAGACAGCACCCCTCAAGACCCCAGCTGGAATAGAGCGTGATGGGGGGAAAAATGGAAGGATGTAGGGAATGATGGCCAAATAATTAGAGCTTTCCTTAAGAAATAGGTGAAATATGGATAAAAACTAAAAGTTATTATTTATCATTTCCTTCCTTTCAATCGTTGCAGTACTGCCTCCATAAAATCTTTTGTAACTGCATGACGTTGTTTTGCTTTTACATCTAAAAATCTCTCTTGTAAGCAAACCGGATTAACTAAAGGAGTAAATTTCCTTATACCTGAGCAGGACGTAGAGCGACCTGATGATATCTCTTTTTGCAACACAGTTGGAGGAGTTTATTAAAGAAAAAACATTAGCTCTATTATTCTTTCACTTCTAATGTCTCTTTAGATTTTTTATCTATGATTATCTCCAACAGAAACCTTTATGTATCAGTTTGTTTCCCTTTAAACTAGAGTCTGTGTGTCTGTACAGTACAGAGTTCACTGGCAGCTAAAGGTCTATTTTTTAACAGTACATTTATTCCGCTGCTGTGGCTTATTCCTCAGCAGCAAAGCCAGTCCTGTTCCAGGAGTCATATCAACAGATCCAACGTTCTCATAGGAGTTGTTCCCCTTTCACAACCGTTTGTGAACCTGTGTCATGACCCCGGTCACAAGGCAGAAAGATGAGAGAAAGACAAGTAAAACATGCAGAAGGAGGGATAGATGGGAAGAACAGGAACAATGAAATCCTCTGTTGTCTTATCTGTGTTTTCCATTCATGATCTCTCAGGCTAATGTTCATAAACAGACACCTGTGCTTGTGAAACCTTTGGAGTCTTGCCAGGTGCAGATTTGGACGATTCTTTGTATGATGTTGTTCAGTGCTTTAATGGAGCCATATATGTTTTTTTTTTAAGTTTATATTCTGCATAGAGTGGAAGCTGCTGTGTGACCACATGTCTCTTGGGGGAGTCTTTTCCCTTCATTTAGGCTTAAAGTCATTGCGGATTTTAGGCAGAGTGAAAGAAAGGAGGTGGTGGGGTTAAGAGGGGGACTTAATCCGCAAAGACTAGACTAACCCGTACGGACCCGAGTCCCCCCCTTGTGCGTGACTGTGATTGGTTTGGGTGTTGCCAGTCGGTGGTATTTGATGTAGAGATTATTGAGAAAAATGTGGATTTGCCTTAAAAGTCAACATCTGTGTAATTTATTAGAGCCCCCAGATGTCCCCATTCCCTCCACAAGCACAATCCCCTTCAATCCAAAGACACCCCCCACCCCTCTACCCATCTAAATAACCTCTGGCTGATCTTTCTGTCTGGAAATGTGCGTGCTAGAGCATAAATATATATATAAATAAATATATGGAGTTTGCAGGTCTGTCTGTGTTTTTGTAATCTGATTCCTTTAATCTGTTGTTGTAAAGAACCCCCCCCCCTTCATATTTAGAAACATTTAGACATAGATTCAGACAGATCCATCAGCAAGCATTTGGGATGGATATGATAGGCTTTATAAAAATCGTTTTTAGCTTTTCTAATGCAGGAGAGGGGCAGGATGACTCAGGAAGATCAATAAAAAGTTAGCAAATTCTTAAAGTGTGGTTTTTAAAAGGGAAATGTAGATGGTGATCAAACCTCATTTTGTGTAGCTTCAAGCAGAAAACATGGAAGTTCTGCCTTTCATAGCCACACCTCATTATGTAAGCTCTGTAAAATGTTACAGATGACATGTGTTTTTGATGAAAAGAAAGAAATGATGACAGTTTTAATATGGACCCCATGCTTGATGGGAAGGTCATGTTAGGATTTAAAACCATTTATTGGGGATTCATGCCTGAGTATCATATTTTACAGCATTTTTTTTTTTTTAGAGTCCTGCTTTGGGCTTAACTAGATTCCTATCCAGAATCGGGCTTTGACTAGGCCTTCATGTATGTAATGACATCAAGACATAAATCTAATGATCTGCTAAGGATGATTGCTTTGTTCCCTTATCTGTTTTTAAACTTCTTTAGATGAGGACATTTTTTTTGTTTTGTTTGTTTGTTTAAACTGAAAACTTTTTGCCTACTTCAAGCTGTCAGACAGGTTCTATAGCAGCGGTTTATTGAAATATATTGTTCAAATGTCTGTGAGTAATCAGGCTATTAAAGCTGAACTTAAATATTAAGTTTATGATCTGAAAGCTTTTTTTCTATTATCTTTTGAAGCAGATGTTTTTCTGAGTCCCATGATTTGTCTTCCTCTAAAAATAAAGCTTTAGATCCTTATAGAAATTCTTTAACATTGCAAAAAAATCAATGAAATCTGTAAGGCCCAGTCGGTTCGAAAGATTTTCTGCGTTTTGACCCAATATACTAGAGTTTTATCTTTACTTCACAATTAGGCTTACAGTGATCAATAAGCTTGGATTTCCTACATTAATTTTCTATATTTAAATGTCTTCAGAGGGCAACTGAAAGCAGTACTAACAGCGAACATATACCACAATTTTAGAACCATTGCTCAGGCATTTTTATATTGAAAGAGATCAAATTCAAATTTCAGTAAATGGACATATTCAACAAATCACACTCAAAAGGGATGTTTAGCCATTTTGAGTATTCTTCAAGTCTTGTTGGTCGGACCCTTTGACGTCCCCCATGGGCCACGGCTGAGTCTTCCGTGACTGCTAATCCACCAGACGTGCTGCACAAGCCCCCTGTTAGCCTGTCCTAAGCCCCCCCAAAGAGCCTTAAGTGGTTGAAGCTCAGTTCTCGTCGGGGGGTCCTGTAATGACTGGGATTTGCTTCTTCTAATTGTGATTTAACAGTGAGCTTTATGTAAACGTGGCTTATAAATCGCGCCTGCGTCCTTGAGTGATTTTCATGTGCAAAAGGTTGATTGGCGAGTGTGCCAACCGATATGAAATCGGCATAAATAAAAGAAGCAGCTCTCCAATCTTCAACTCTTTAGTTTCTGTCAGAAAAAAGGGAGCATTAACTGTAATAACAGGTCAGATTCAGACACAAAACAAGGGATTCACAGCATACATATAACTGTTCCTTATGTAAACAGACGCTACAACGAGAGAATAAAAGCACATTCATGAATCAGCCTCTAGAATCCCACTCAGAATCAGCCTTTATGCATTTGTGATTCCTTTTCACAGATTTCCCGCATGCCAACACAATCTCAGTTTAACGCTCATGTGACTTGTTAAATCAAAGTCACACGGCTCACATATGCACCTCATTACTTGATGAGATGCTAACTCACCCGGGAATTGCATTTCTCAAAAACGCACTCATACTGTAAGATACATGCATGCAACCTTTTTTTTTTTACTCTTTTTATTTTGCTTTCCAACACAGACACCTGAGTGTGTCCACACTAATTAACATGAAAAACACACACTGTCATCTGTCAGCGTCTGTGAGGGAAGGTCCCAGCAGCCTCTGGTGCTAAACAAGCTTTGTGTTGTTGAAAAGTGTCGTGAGGTTGTGCTAAATTTGTCACACGCATCAAGTAACCCTGAGCAAGGAAATAGGGGGGGAATAAAAAGAAAAAACAGCCCACACAGCATTTCAGCCTGTTCATCCCATCACAATATGATGCAAAGCCACAGAACAAACAAACATACAAGGCTTTGTTTGCACGCTCATACATAATGCAACATTCATAATTAAATTTGCATTGGCATACAGGTGCAGTTAGTGACAGTTATAAACATCTGCAGCAAGGCTTGACCAAAGGTTTTCAGTTAAACCTTCATCCACACTGATTACAATTCCTCTCTGTGTTTTTACTTTATGGAGTCGCAATAGGGAATTTGATGTGGACAAACTGGCTACATATCAGCCTGAACACATCATACCAGCTGTTAGGCATGGTAGTGGGATCATCATGCTAAGGGAAGGTGCAAAGGACTGGAGACTCATGAAGTGGTTTAACTTTCAGTAGTAGCTACACTGGAAATGTTTTGAGCTTTTCAGGTTTCATAAATTAATTGTGCAAATGATCATTATTATTCTTATATTTCACTGCTATGTGCTGGTATGGGTAGCTTAAAACATAATATCCATATCAATCCATTTTTGTTAACGCTTATCCTTAGCGAGGCCAATTAACCTAACAGTCATGTTTTTGGACTGTGGAAGGAAGCTGGAGTACCTGGAGAGAACCCACACATACTCAGGGAGAAAATGCAAACTGCATGTAGAAAGACCTCAGGCTGGGAATCGAACCCCGAACCTTTTTGCTGCAAGGCAGCAGTGCTACTCACTATACAATGGAGCAACCCATAATATCCATAT